ACCAGCTTTTGTAATTTTTTATAATTTGTTCATCTTAAGAGAAGGGATATTGTGTATTTAAATAATCCACTACATTCGGCTTATAAAAACGTTTATTATACTTATAAATAAGGTTATGGTTTACTCATATAACAAATTTTTGTACAAAACCTTTATTGTTTTATTGACTTTCCATACTATTTGCTGAGTAAAATCAATCTAATAACCACGTACTAAGTTGTGAAATAAAATCTTGAAAAACTTTTTATTTCAGGTACCTCTCACACAGGTAAAGTAAATATAACTCTACCCGTCTATTTCATCGTATGGGGTGTCTCTATATGTTCAAAGAAGATGCCGCTTAAGATTAGTCAATTTTTACCGTCCATAAAGTGTAATATTCTACAAGATGCAGGAGTATATATGCTAGATTATGAATATGGTCTCTTTTATATAGGACAAATAAAAATATCTATAAAAACTCGCGTGAAAGAACATATAGCTGACGTGAAGACTGACGTGAAGAAGACTGTGAACATGATTAAGATCGTCCCCACCATTACATCAGATTTGATAAACCATAAATTCTTGCAAAAGAACATCGTTTCCTATGAAGGATGATACGCGAGGCTCTAGAAATTAAAAAAAAACATCCTAATTTCAATAGAGAAGATGGATGAGTGCTGCCATCTGCTTGGCATCCTATTATTAACAAAATTAAATCCAAGCCCAAGCATACCACTGCAAGGCTTCAAGATACTGTAAGCTCGTTCTGCGTAGACTTTCTGCGATGTTCTGCGGACCCAAAATTAATATTTAAAAACTGAAGGTTGCCGGGCTAGCTAAAACATTGGGACGTCAAACATCTCAATTTTCTCGTGACCAAGCTCTCGAAATGTCCGGAATATAAAAATAAGTAAAAAATAAGTTAATTAAACGCGAAAAAATTCATATAAATAGTTTTAAATATATATTAATATAGTAATAGTTAACATAATAGTTAAAAAATTATTATGTTAACCATTACTGACTGGTAATAGCAAATAAAATTCGCTAATTAGAAGATCTTAAGACCAAGCGCGCAAGACATATAACATCTTTAAATTTCTTGAAGAGTTGCAAGGACCATAATTCCATTTCTAAGTGTGTCAAAACATCAACAAAAAAGGACATTCAAGGAAGCACTAAGGCCGGTTTCAGAGCTCGACCGACCGTCAGTGCGTACCGTCGGTCCTGACGATACTCATAACCGATCGTCAGTTTGTAGCGAAGATCTTAAATCAGGCAAGTGAAAAGTGTTTACGAACGGTGATTCAGCAGAAACGGTTCGATCTACATTTCATAAATAATACCGTAGACAATTTGTCCAGTGAATTAAAGACGGTTTCTTTACTCAGTTAATAATAATTATGAATTTATTAATTACGTGACGTATTAGTAATCCATCCACAAAAACCAAAATTAAAAAAATTTAAATAAACAAAATCCGCCTTTATTTAGAAATTAATAATTGAAACAGAAACAACTTAATACGTGGTAGAGTCACGCTGCAGCCATATCATGTTTGTAGCATTAATGGGTACCGGGGAAAGACTACGCTTTCAATGAATAGCAGCTCAATACTACTGTATTTCATATGAAGAAATATTTTGTATAAGTGTAGAGAATCAGAGATCCTTTTTACTGAAACGAAGTTTTCCATAAGATTTCTGAAGTTGACACGAACACTATACATTGAATTAAACTATTTTTACAGATTTAATCGCGTTTATTAACTTATTTTATATTCCCGACGTTTCCAGGACTTTACAGCCCCCATAGTTAACTACGGTTGCCTGTAGTTATAGATTAATAATTTTTGGGCCAATTTATGCTTAACGAGCTTTATAGTATCTTGAAATCTTGCACTTGTATGCCTGGGATGGGATTTAATTTTATTAATACGATTCAGTTGTAGCACCCATTCATCTCCTCGATTGAAATTATAATGTTTTTTATTAATTTCAATAGCCTATTCAATCAAATCTGATGTAGTGGCAGGGGCTATGCTATATAAGTTCACAGACTGCAGAATTTCTAGAGCGTCTATTCTACGTCAGATATGTGTTCTTTTACGCAAATTGATCTTTTAGTTTGTTCTATGTGAATGGGACCACAATAACGATCAAGATTGTAAACTATTGCATCTTGCAAAACTGATGGTAAAACTGATTAATATTCTTATTGGCTTGATATATTTTAGTGGAGTCTCGCTGCAAGATGTGACCAATCTTGCCTGCGACATCTCTGATGTATGGTAGTGCAGTGGGCACATGCTCAATTGTGACGGGTATCACTCGTTCACCGTCACATAGGCATGGAACCGTAATGCAAAACTTGCTTGACATGTTGGAGCTCGGCGGTCAGGTGTCTACTGTGTAGGACAGTGGTGAGAATCACCATTTATATATCATTAATTATTAAAGGTCTTTTTGAATACACAGTATAGCTCAAGATATTCCTTGTTACTAATATTACTAGAAGTAGTGTAATTACTACCTGGAAAAGCTAAGAATTATTTGCCTTTAACTCCATTGTGAACTAATTTTTAGAATTTATGGAGTTGAGATGGTCTAAAAATGCAGTTACTTTACCTAATGGTAAAATTATGAAAATACCGTCTACATCCCGCTCGTTGAATCTCGGGTTTACAGAAGAAGTAAGAAAATTTTTCTTCTTAAATTCTTTTATGAATGTGACGGAGCTCCCGTTAAAAGGTGAACAAATCGCCGTCACATCTACTTGCTCGTAGAACTCTTCCTTTCAGAATAAGTAGTCAGATACAAGGCAATATCTAAGTAATACTGCATCTTCTACGGGCATTTTCTATTGGCAACTTTTTCTATAATTTTCAATAGTTATCCAGAGTAAAGAAGTTGGTGATTTTTTACCACCGTGTTAGAAATCCCGCAAGGCCGTTGATCCTGCATCTCTTTCCGGTCGTATAGAATTGCCGCGTGACGGAAATCAATACATCTCTGCTTACGCAGACATTCGTTCACTATAAAGATTATGCGCAATCAGTAAAATTTATTGATAATTATATATGCATAAATTGCTTTGAACAATATACATATTGTTGCATTCTTAGTCCTTGTGTCTCTACGAAAGTAGCTTGAACATTTCACCATACTTGGATGGTCTGTCTGCGTCTTGGTTGAGCTCACGTCTGTCTAGTTACGCCCAAGTCGGTCTTAATGTATAAACTGCGAAACGTGTGAACTACCTGATATTTTATATAAAACATAAATTAACGAAGATCTCTGTTACTTTCACATTGGTGTGCTGATGTGTTTGTGTGTGTATTAGTACACTGTGATTGGATATTGTCGTAGCCTGTATAGACTTAACAAACATTGACATTCTCGACTTCGCTCGATGTTTGATGTTTGTGTTTACCCACTGCCAAGAAGCTGAGGCCTTTTTTTACTGTTTCGCCATTTTGTTTTGCTGTGAACTATGGTCCAGTTTCCAACTTCTCGTCCCTCTTTGGACCGTCGTTCACGCTCACCGTAAACGACGTTGGTGTGTTGAGCCCACAGAGTACTTTTTATAAACTGGAAACAACAAGACACGCCATTTGCTATTTTACAAATTTGTTAATAGTTGTCAATTCTCACGAAGGCGATTGGTCAATATTTTTACATTAAATGGTACCAAGTTTAAAAGGACCATGTTATGTAGTATAGTTCAAAGAATTGTATAAATTCTCAACTTATTCGTATTATTACGATACTAGTGACATCTGATAGTTAGAAATGACATCATGTTATTATAACCAATTATAACGCCTAAGTATGGAGATTGCACCGCTTGGTTGAGCCATGTGCCTTCCCCATAAATTCTTTAAATATTTAAAACCTTATTATTGGATGTTTATATATGAGTACTTTGAATCATTTTCACGCAAAAAGAAATTGGACTCGTGTGAACCTGACACAGTTATATTTTGGACAAATTAATATTCTTTAACCTGTTATGAGCCATTTCTGAATAAAACGGGATTCCGTAATCAGAATAGCTTTAATATATTATATTCTTAATGGCATCGGCTTTTGACTAATACAGTAAATATTATTTTTTTCGAGAGGCACCTAAAATAAATTATTTACTAAGCAAACAGTTTTTACTGAGATGATCACGCCAAAAAATAAGTATTAACAATTGAACTCCTGTAATTTATTTGCCTTTACAAAGATCCTATAATGAAATTAGTATTCAATGAATACTAATTTGCTACTTTCTATAATGAATACTATTCATTACTAATGATAATACTATTCATTATTCCGGCCAAAAAAAAATTATACACATTTAATATTAAGATTATTAGCAAACCGTGGAAGAGGAGGGGTTGGTTTTAACAGATATCTAAAACTGATGATAGCCCACTTAACTAGTCATCATACTGACGCTCTAACTAGTATTTACTGCTAAATATGGGGGATCCCGTCGTCCAGCAGTGGATAGTTTTCTGGAATGTTCTGATGAAAATGAAGCCAAACAATGGAATTGTCAAATAAATTAACAAATTATCTTTGCTATTACATATATTACTATTTAACAAACTTTAAGATCAGATCCATGTGAACCATATCCCATAGTATTATTGTCATTGTAGTACTCGTATATTACAAAAAATCGGAAAGACATACAGAGAAAGCAAGTTTGTAAAATGCATTAAAACCACTTAGTAAAAAGGTTCCTAATTGAAACACGTTTATATTAACAAACATTATATTTGTACATACTATTTTATATACATTTAAATATTATTTGCATATATTTTTTATTATTGTAGTAATAAATAAATACAATCAGTTCATAAAATAATACATAGATAACATCCAGGAATCTATATAAATACCACAAAATATTTAATATATTTTATATTTGCATAAATGGCGGGAAAATTAAGAAATATATACAGAACTTGTAACATGGTTAAATAAAATATACAAAGGCTCAGGAATCGAATATCATTAAGCCACGTGAGGAACAACAACTTCAGGCACAGGTTTGTGAGTGATGTAAACGTCTTGCAAGTATATGTTGCTAACATCATCAACTTGCCATTGGTACAAAGGTCGGTCTAGAGGGAATCCGAAACGCTCGTCGGACAAGACGCGAGCGCCAGAACCAAGGCCTAGAGAGACAGCAGGGTCGAAGTTGCTGCCGTATGGTACCTTTGCGGGATGATATTCAGAAATGTGCACCAAGAGAACGAACGGCATTCCTCCAACGCGTCCTGTGAAAGTTTGAGTTTTATTTAAACATTCAAATAATCAAACATTATAATTAAAAAATTTAACCAATCAATTAGCATTTTTTTTTTGTTATTTAGCTTCAACAACCTTTTCAAATACGTTTTTGGTCTTTGCAAGAATACGCTACCAAGCACGTATAAGCTATCCTTATATTTTTTACCTTTGGGAAGTACAAGATGATCGGGGAATCCGTCCATTCTATGTGTCTGATCAATAACGAATTGTCCCTTGCCGTGCATTGCATTGTAAGCTTTTTCATAAACTTCGTACGCTGATGACCATCCCTTAATTGTGAACAAATTTTCTGTTGACTCACGTTTGATAACACACTCTCCAACGGGCACTAGAATCGAAACAATTGTTAATATATGTTAGATTAAATTATATAAAATTAAAAAAAAAACATACAAAGGTTGTAAAAAAACTGTAAGAATATCTGCATGCGAAATTAAGATGTGAATGTCTAATTATAATAAAACAAGAGGGGCACCATCCGTCTTATCTGAGTATTACGAGAAAACAAACTACTATCAATACTATATCTGTTCAAGTAGAAGCAAACACCATAAATAGCTTTTAAACCAGGAAGATATATAAATATAACATTTGACGAATATTTAGTAATTGCGTTGTCAAGTGAATAGATTTGCTTTGTCTATCGTAAACTAATGCATTAATTGTGAATAATCATATCTTAAGCCAATCCTTAGATTAATGAAATAATCTTAATGTTATAGTAAACTCCATAGTTCAAGTTATCTAAATTAAGGTTTCCATGTGTGAACTTTATACACTGATACATTCTCTTAAAGTCAACTCCAGGAAACAAGACTAAAATTTTTACGTAAACGTGAATTCGTCTAAGGTTAAAAAATTACTTACACTCATACAGGAAATAATCCAACATATAGAAGTTTTCAGTGTTAACGTGGAGAGGAATTTCATAACCCTTGCTGTCGTACTTGGGTGCCAGGAAGAATTTTACGGCAACAGTTTTCGCGACATCACTCTTAACATTAACTCGAACAGTGAAAACCTTGTGGTTCAGTTGTGGGCGTTGAACCAATACACTCACATCATCGACTACTTCCTTGCCTAGAAAACAAATAATTGTATTATAAGGTGGTCGCTAATTCTTTAACCTTTTGTTAAAAGTAGAAGACAAAGTGAGATACTTACTTTCATGTTTGTTCATGTGCAGATGGTTAGTAACGTTAACATAAGTATGTTCAAAGTAAGTAACAAGTTTATCGACCTCGACGCTCTTAATAACAACTGATGGTAATGCCAATTCTTCATGCTTGTATGCAGGAAGATATTTCTGCCAAGATGTGAACAGTCCCAATACACGTTTGTAAATCATATAGAACGCAGGGTCCCTTAAAGCGGTCTGGTAGTGTTCCAAGACTGATGGAACTACCAATGGTACCAATCTGTAAAAAAAAAATTAAATAAACACATTCAAAGCTATGAAAAATTGATAACTTTTATAAACAAACTTACCCATTGTGATATTGGTGTCTATGCCCAACAGTGTTTCCGAGAACAGTCTTCCAAATGCTGATAAAGTCCTTATAGTAATATGGGTTGGGAGAATCAACATTAGCTTCAACTATTCGACCGAGAACATCAATTGCTTCTGGAGTTCGAAGGTTAATATGTTCACCCAAGTGCTGCAAAAACAAATATATTTATTTATAAAAAAATATAACTTACAATGCTACACGATATCTCAATTTTTCTTTAAGTATTCCACTTACGTTGAGGGCGTAACCTTTGTCGATAGCTTCACGAACACGGTGCTCGTAATCCACGATCTTTGTTATGGCCTGGACAAACTCTGGCTGGTCCAGACTGAAGTGATTCGGCCTTACTGGGAATTGAACGCCATTGTGATACGTAATATCTGGCACGTATCCTTGTTGAACTACGTCAAGACCTAATTCGGGAATTTCTCCAAGACCGTTAGACAATCTTTCCATGTAGTAACGAGCCAGGATTTGTTTATGGTAAAACCAGAACAATTCACCGCGTCTGTCCTTTACTAAGGGTGTGGCTTCGTTTCCAAGCCAAGATGGATACAGCAGGTGAAGGTTATAGTAAAATGCGTTCAAGTTAACATCATGTGTGAAATAATTGAGAACGTCGTCATAGAAGTAGGGCCAAGTAGTGCTGTTCCACCTAATCACAACATTGTCGTCCCACACATAAGTTGATGGGTAATGTTCGATCATTCGCTTGTCGTGTGTGTTTACTCTCTGGGCGGTGGTCATTATTTCAGCATTATGGAAGTATGAAGGGAAAACTTCAAAAATTGGTGGAACAACTATGCCCTGCGTGTCCGGCCGGTGTAACAATACGACGCTCAAGGTGTAGACAAAAAGACCTTCATTGACTTTATTTCTTAGGTATACGGCTGTTTTATAAAGAGTGCTGAAATCTTTCGCTGAATACAAAACATTGTATAAGACTTTAGCTTCAAATCTGTGCGAGTACTCCAAGACGGAGAACGGCACACTACGAGGTAGCAGCAGGTCCTTTTCAATTAATTCCGCGTACAATTTCACAGCTGTGACATTCTGTAAAAAATGTTTTTATAGTTTATACTATTATATATATTCTACAGTTCTACAGTTATTACATATATTTATAAGGTACTAGGATAATTCTTACAGTACAGTGATCAATATTCTTCTCAAGGTCCCAGGTGTTCACAATCACTTGAAGTTCTGGATTGTGAATGGGTTCATGAACGTGATAGAACAAGTGCCATACATCCACCTGATGTTGCACAAATTCAGGATCAGCTGTAATAATAACAATATATAATTTATTTGATCCATACAACAATGATCAATCACAAAATTAATTTTTTGTATTACCTACACATTAAATATTAATGCTTATTATTGATTAATTAAATAAACCATTAATCATTTTTTATATTAATAAATTTGATCACCTGATCTGAAGATCTCAATAAATGCACAAATGTTACAAATAACTTTGATAATTCATAAATAAAATTTTATGCCTTATCAGAATTATTTATTATTATAAAATAAGTTTTATGCCTTACCAAATTATCGTTTAATGAAGGAATAATATTTAATAAAGTTAACTTAACTTTATTAAATACTAATCTATCAAAATTTTACTAAAGAGTATCTAATTTTAAAAATCGGACCAACTTAATATTTTTTTTTTGCGAACTATTAAATGACTGGAATCGGTCATTTATATAAGTGTGTGCAAAAATACAGCAGCTGAGTTAAGACAGAAGAAACGAATTTATGAAGCATCTGTTTCATTTATTATTTGTGATTTTGAACGAATACACCTAATATTGTACAACGAATACCTTATTTTTATAACTTGACGAATTTATATTCGGTGCTAAGTTCTTTATTCGTCGATATAATAGTTGGCGAACCTTGTACAAATTGCAAATCTGAATCTATTATATATCTGAAGATGTTATTACGATTTCTTTGTGCGCATCACAACGCTTAGGGTTTTTCCGATTATTCGAGACAGTATAATTCGTTACGTAAATTTTCACGTCATTAATTATAAAGATATTTAAAAAAAATCGATTTATTCACGCTGACACATAAAATAAAAATCAAACTTACCAACTTTGTGCGGAACCTTTTTTATGGGGTCCGCAAGCCCGCTTGCTGCAAGTAGCGCTAACGTGCACAACACCAGCCGAGCCATGGTCGTCAGTGGCTAGCCTTACCTAAGCCCACCTATTTATACCTCAATGAATAGATAAATAACAATTATCTAGTGTAGGTCAGGTACAAAATAATGTCAGCCTTATCTTAAATTTCTTTTGAAAATAATAAACAATCGTATGCATGTACCCTGATTGACTTTCAGACATCAATTCGTTAAGGTCACTTTTACGTAAATACGTGAATCTTGTTGTGAAAAGAAAATTTAAAAAATAGCTAAAAACTAGATTATTTTATCATGATGTCTGTGTATTTCACTTTCAGCCATGGCAGATTGAGAAACACCAGGATCAGGAATAATAAATAGTGCTAGTTGCGTGCGGGAATCGAACCCGTGATCTAACGCGCCGCAGCTACACGCTTAGTTCTTGTGGTAACTTTTTTAATGTTTTTTGATTGCAATGTTCAATTCATTAATTTGATCACATACATTCATACTTGGTCAGATATTACCTCAAAGGAAAAATGGAACGCTGGAAAAAGAAATAGAAAAAGATTTTTCTATGCAATGTGACAAGTAATACTTATTAAAAGTCATTACTATTTGTAATGCTAGTTTTTACCGATACAAGCAGTTTTTAGATAACATTCGTCCATACAACGGGGCACACCACATGACTTGTTTTGGAGCCAAGGAAGTTATATATGAAACGTTTATGCCTACTTTTAAAATGCAGGTGCAGGTTGATCATTTAATTAGTTCAATTTTTCCAAAATTTATTTATTTCTGATTACAGTGAATAAACCTACATATATCAAGGTGACAACCTTTTTTATAGAAGAGGGGGCAGGAGAATTGCAAGAAATTTGAGAGCCAATGTTAGTTCGCGCTTCAGGGTATCTGCATCAGGTCATCTCTAGTACAGGTTTGAAATTAGATATATAAGGATATATTTCAAAGTCGTACTAGAGTTAATGCCTCGAGATCAATAAAATAATTATAAATTTATTAGTAGCACTGATAAGCGACCTTCAGTGCAGCATTTCGGTCGTTATAACTCTTCATCCACTAAGTGGCAGTTATCCTGGTGGATCGAAAGTACGACAAGCGGGATATTATAGTATGTAAACCTGATGTCCGCCTGTAACCAATTAATAAGACTTATTTAATCTTGCGGTGAAGTTGGTAATAATTTTAAGATTCTTCAAGTAGATCCCGCTACAGGAGCACCACGGTCAGATAGATAAATTTTAGCCCCGCAATTTTATTGTTATCTTATACATCGATTTACAATGCTCGGCTTATTTAAACATGGTATTGTTGAATGTGCGCAAAAATTAAAACAGGACGTCTTAGTATTCGTTCGTACTTATTAAAGACGGAAATACACAAACATAGAATATTTAGTTATATTGTCTTCAGACTTCATCGAGAGCCCACAAAATATGAACATAGGGCATATATACCCCTTAAGGGGAATATAAATGAACGCGTTTAAGACTCATTCTGTGCGCCCCCTTTCTCCCAAGGGGGGGGGGGTCGCGTTTGATACGGCTTAGAAGATCTCTCGCCAGATCATTAAGCCAATTTCAAAAGGTGGTGTTTAGTGGGTAAAAGTCGCCACATAACCACGCAGCCGGCTGCGGGGTATGCTATGAGCATTCACCACCTCCCTCCCCGGTTTACCGGAGTAGCCCTTTTATGCTTCGGGCGCAAAAAAAAAAACTCATTCTGTTATGTTTACAAGTATGGTGGGCCAGATCTTCTTAAAACTTTAGCTAATACCTAAATTAATCGAGATTTGTTGATCAACTTATTAAACAAAGAAATCATTTTTGGTGCTACGTCATGCTTTACACACAACGTGGAATGACAAAAGAGAGAGTTGCCCCACGCTGACATTCTCCTATGGTTAATGGAAAAAACATTCCTTATGACGATGATAATATAATAAGTTCAGAATTCCTATATCATATAAAAACAGTATCACAGCGACATAAAAGATTTATTGTGGTAGCAATTTCACTTCTTCTGGGCAAAGTACACAGTTTCCCAGATGAGTGTTACGTTTGCACGTTAAGGGTTCACAATAGAAATAGAAATTTTTTTATTCAATGTAGATTATAACAATACTTATTGAAAGTCACTTTTTTAATTTACCACTGGTTCGCAAAAGAAACCTCTGTCCTGGGAAGAACCAGCAAGAAACCCAGCGGGACTATTTTTTTTTTAATAATAGCTTACAATCATGTTTACAATCAACAACACAAGACAAATTAGAAATAGCTTGGTAGCGATTACCCTTCCCAGGGTTTATTATCATCCATAAATTCCTTAATATTATAATAACCCTTTTTATACAAACTTAGTTTAATAAAATTTTTGAACTTTGTGTATGACAAGTTTATGAAAATATACAATTTTCTGGGATTTTGTTGTAAAAGCGTATACATCGCCCAAGAATTAATTACTGACTTGCTGGAGTCGAGTAACTGGTACTGCCAGCTTGTGTCTGCTCCTAGTATTTACAGAACGAATATCACTTATTTTCGCAAAACTACTTTTATTTTTGTGTACGTACATTACATTTTCATAAACGTTGAGAGGCCAGAGTTAATATATTAATATCCTTAAATTTTTGTCTCAGTGACTCTTTTGGTTTTAAATTATATATTGCTCTAATGGCCCTCTTCTGTAAAATAAATATAATTTCAGTGTCAGTCGCGTGTCCCCATAGCAAAATACCATACGACATAATGCTATGGAAATAACTAAAGTAAACTATTCTAGCTGTTTCAACACTGGTAAGAGTTCTAATCTTTTTTTACAGCATATGCTGTAGAACTAAGTCTGCTAAATTGTTTTGATATATGGGGGAGCCATTGAAACTTTTTGTCTAGTGTGATTCCAAGAAAAATGGTGGTATCAACAATACTCAGTTCTTCCCCATTTAAAATTACATTCGTATTAACATGTTCGACATTAGGAGTTACGAATTTCATACATTTAGTTTTATTACCATTTAGATGCAAATTATTAACATTAAACCAATTGACTAACTTAGCTATAGCATTATTTACTTCGTCGTAATTTAATAACTGTCGTTTAATTTGAAAATTAATGAAGTATCATCAGCAAATAACACTATATCATGGTTATCCCCTACCATGTAAGGTAAGTCATTAATATATACACAATCAGTTAGGATGTGCAGAGGCGTTTCTTCCGTTAAACAACAGAAGCAAAACATCCGTGAGTTGCTCAGTCCCAAAATGGGCATGTGTTTAGGACAACAGTGCTCAGTCCGGGCTGTAGCCAGAATACGCAATTTATTCTTACCTAATCCCGGGGCCTCTGAAGCGAATTGACGATAATAATTCCAGATTAGGGGTTTAGAATTTTTTCAGACTCAGACCAGATCTTAAGTGATTTGTTGTGATAGAGTTTCACCGGTGAATCGGGGTAAGCTTTTTAAGAATCCACAAAATGGCTCGGGTTCAAATTGCGTACTCTTTGATACCCGCAAGACCAGGAACCCATCATAAAACGACCCTGTTGTTACATCTCAGGGAATTTAGACGGTTCACGCAGTCTCCAGTCAGCTTCGAGTTCACTAAGTTTGATCTCAGTGCTAGCAGTGCTGAGTTATATAGATAATATGGTTGACGTAGTGTTTTTACTGATCGATTTCCGCACATTGAAGTATGGCGAGAATTTTTGGTTTGAAGATAGATGTGAATTTACCCAAATTCATACTAAGAGTAAATTTGGGGCGTTCCCCATAAATTCCAAAGCCTACGTCGAGGTATTTTTGACCTATCAGTATATCATATAGGGCTACCGACCTTACAGATAACCTATCCATTCAGCCCGTCTTCTCTGGAGGATAGTTCTACTATTTACTTTTTATAAAAAGTGTATAAAGGTGTTTCCTTAATTGAGTCGAACATGGATCTCAGTCTATAGAAAAGCAAGCTCTGACAACCCTGGGCATACAATCCTATTTTTTCCCTTTCCTCCTTGTCTAAAAAAGGCATAGAAATGTATCATGAGCCACTCCCGGCCAAGAACGCATCGATCCAGTTGCCATTAAGCAGACATTTCTTTGTAGATTATTTATTCTGTCCGCAGTCGTCATTTGGTTGGCCTTATTAAACAAGAGGCGAAGTTAAAATCAGCCTCATGCTGACGCATGTCCTAGTGTTCATGATAGTGTTTTGCATGCTGGTTGTAATGTATGGGCTTCGTAGCTAGAGTTATATCCCTAATATATCTATTAATATAATATATCATATCAATAAATATAATATATTATATATCTTTTTCCAATATCTAGAGAAGAAATGACGATAGGTTTATATATCTAAAGGACTTTGGTAAAACGTAGTCTTTTCCGCCAGCACAACCAGTACGTATTGCCAATGATAATCTATGGAACTGAGACGTGGTCCTTTACTGCTAGCTGTATGAGGACGATCAAAGTCGCTCAGCGAGCTATGAAGAGGGCTATGCTCGGGGTTTCTCTGCGTGATAAACTTAGAAATATCCTCCTTTACTGCAATGAGCTACATATAACTCGAAGAACCGACAACCGTTGGGGAAAAAGGTTCTCGAGTGGCAGCCTCGTAATGTTAGGTAAAGTGTAGGGCAACCCCCCACTAGATGGAGTGACGACCTGGTAAGACATGCCGGAAGTCGATGGATGCAGGTCGCACAGGACCGTGCTTTGTGGCATTATTTGGGGGAGGCCTATGTTCAGCAGTGGACTTGTGAAGGGCTGTAATGATGATGATGACGATACATAAATTTCTTAAGAAAAAGTTATGGAAACCAGATATATATAATCGAGGGTTTACCGGTAAAACCAGTTATTTGAACTGGTTCCAAATGTTTAAATAAAAATTCATAGCACAGAATATATGCAAGGTTGATAACGTTTAATGATAAGTCGATTATTATTTATTAAGGTAGAGCTATTCGAAAGAAATCCTAGTAAAAGCTCCATCTGAATCTGAGTCCTATCTTTTTTACTTTCTATC